TCCTCTGTTCTGGACAGTAGACTTTTATCTTTGTCCTTTCCATTTTGTAGCCTGTCATTTTACTTCCGAGTAATATCCTCTGCTGCACAAATAATTTCTTTTTTCTTTTTACCTGTCTCTGTCTCTCTGTCTCTGTCTCTGTCTCTGTCTGTCTGTCTGTCTGTCTCTCTCTCTCTCCTCTCTGTCTTTGCTTTTCAAGAGAGGGCTTCTCTGTGTATCCCAGGCTGGGCTCAAGCTCAGAGGTCTGCCGGCCTCTACCTCCTTGAGTCTTTGGTTAAAGAAGTGTGCTACCACACCTAGGTCCTGTGTAAATAAAAATAAAAATAAAAATAAAAATAAAAAAAATATAAAGAAGTGTGTGTGTGGTGCAAGTGGCTGCAAAGGCCAGGAGATTACTCCAGATCTCCTGGAGCTGTACCTTGTGTTTGTGAGATAATTAATGTAGGTGCTGGAAACTGAACTCCAGTCCTCTGGAAGAGCAGCAAGTGCTCTTATTGCTGAGTCATCTCTCCAGCCCCCACTGTACAAATTCTTAAAAGCTTGATAAAATTCAGATGGTCTCTCTTTTTCTTTTGTTGCTGTGTTTGGTGCCATGGGGAAGAATCCCTGGTCACAGCCATTGCTTACGTTCTATGTTTTGCTGGTGTTCAGTTTAGCTGTTCTATTTTTGTCATTAATATGTTTTAAGTGAATTTTTGTACCTGGTCTACTGAGTCTTCTGCATGTGGGTTTAGCTTTCGTTTTTTTCAGAGTAATTAATATTACTGTAAATCTCAAGCTCTAGGATTTACAGATGTGGGCACCACTCCTGTCCTCAGTTTTTCATAAAATAAAATAAAAGTCTGACAGTAAATGTCAGAGGGGAAAGGAGAGGGTGCCATGTTGGTCTTTAAAAAAGAAAAGAAAAACCTTAAATATGTCTTTGGAAGTGTACATAACTGGCAATTTAGACCTTTTCAGGAATTTTTCTGTGTTCTGTAAAATATAAGATTTTATTTAAAAGAATTCCCAGTAATGTTGTAGGCAAGTGATTGCTCACACACTGCTGACCTGGTGGTTCTGCTGCCAGAGAAATATAACTAGCAATTATCAACTTTTCTTATGTTCTTTTCATAAGTCTAGTTTTCATGCCTGTAGTTTGTAAATACATAGAAAAAGATGGGCCCACATTAACAGAATCAGCAGTTTGTTAGAAGCAAGACATAGAGCAAGATGAACTAAAGGTTTGCTTTTCTCTGTATACCTCATGTGGTTTAAACATTAAGGGTATTCTGTATTCTTTTTGCTGGTTAACTCAGAAAGAGAATGTGATTCAGACAATGTGCTTAGCATGCTCAGAGCCATGGTTTCAGTCCCCAGCCTCCAGATAAATTAAGTATATAAACAAATAGATAGATAAAATAGGAAACAGTGTAAGAGAATTCTAAAGTAGCTTGTTGGGGCTGGAGAGATGTCTCAGTGGTCAAAAGCATGCAGTGGTCCTGGGCTCAGTTCCCACCCACATAGTGGCTCACAACTGTCCATGACACCATTTTCAGGAGATCTAACACCTTCTTCTGACCTCTGTAGACACCATGTATGCGTGTGCTACACATACATTCATGCTGGTAAACATGCACACACAAATACACCTCAGAAAAAGCAATTGTTTTCTACCCTTTTCTGAAAAGGGAGGGGAGTGCACACAGGGGATTGAACCTAGGGCCTCATTTATTCTGATCACACGTTTTAACACTCAGCTACCCCACAGCAATGCTGTTTCAGTTATTTTGGCTTTGAAGCAGATTTTTTAAAAACTAAAACAGCTGGTAATTTTATTTTCACATTTCATCATACAAATCATAATTTTTTTATCCCACTTCTCCCCTTCAAAACTATTCTCTTTGCTAGGAAGGGGGAAGTCTTCTTTATCACGCAGCTAGGAAACACTCAGGCTCAGCACCAAGATTTCCTGGTCAAATAACTAAAACAAAGCCATTGAGGAACCCACCTACTCTGTCTAGCTTGGTTATTCCAGGCTGAGTGGGCACTGTTGTGGGGCTAACAGGACCTCTCATAATTGGAGGCCTAGACATCTTGGGCATGTGGTCTCCCATGTTTGGCTCTATTCCAGGCACCAGTCCCCTGGGCATTATCCCAGGAGGAGGAGGGTCCACCGTTGGCATCATGGGAGGGCCTGTCATATGGGGAGTGGGTATCAGAGCAGAGCGAGAAGGACCAGAGACTGGGAGGAAGCAGGATCATAGCCCCTGCCGAAGGAGGAGCAGAGACTGGAGTTGGAAGTGTCTTTCCCTGTTGAAATGCAGCTGTTGTTTTGTCAGTCAGGCCCTTGGCCTGCTTTTCCATCCACTTCTTCCTACCACCGCAGTGTGTCTTTCTCATTGATGGAGAATCATGGGTAAGATATGTGGTGGTTTGAGTAAGAATGGCCCCCATAGGCTCTTCGATTTGAATGCTTGGTCACCAGGGAGTGGCACTATTTGAAAGGATTAGGAGGTTTGGCCTTGTTGGAGAAAGTGTGTCACTGGGGATGGGCTTTGAGGTTTTAAAAGTCCATGCCAAGCCCAGAGTCTCCCTCTTTGCCAGAAGACCAGGATGTAGCTCTCAGCTACTTCTGCATCACCATTTCTGCTTATGTGCATCACGCTTCCTGCCATACTGATAATGGACTGAACCTCTGAAACTGTAAGCATGCCTCTCAGTTAAATGCACTCATTTATAGGAGTTGCCATGGTTATGATGTCTCTTCACAGCAATAGAACAGGACTAAGAGTATTGCAGGAGGCACAACAAAACTCGGGCATGTTGCTCTGCAGGCTGTTAGCCACCCAGTTCCTTGCCACCAGGAAATGATTAAGGCAGATTTTGTTTTTTGTTTTTTGTTTTTTTTTTTTAAAAAGTGGAAATGTACAATTGATTAGAAACAAGTAATATATGTCTAGTATATAATAACACTTTAAGAAATATTTATGCTTTATTTTTATTTATTTTGTTTGTATGAGTATATTATATGTGTATTTGTTGAGTATGGTGTATGTGTGTGGTATATGCACATGGGTGGTGGGTGCATACATCTTGGTGCTTGCTTGGAGATCAGAGGAAGCTATTGGGTGTCCTGTTCTGTCACTCTCTACTCTGTTCCCGTGAGACACCCTGGAGCTAGGTGATAGATAGTCAGTCCTCCTCTCCACTCTCCGCAGCACTGGAGTTACAAGTCCTTATGTGGCTGTGGCCAACTCTTCACTTAGATCAGAACTTAGGTCGTCATGTTTGTATAAAGCAAATGCTCTTGCCCCAAATATGAATATTTTAGAAATATTAGGGTATTTAACACTGAATAACTGAACTATTAATTGAATCTAGTCTTTAACACTTTGCAATATGAAATTTTTGAGACTGTACCTTTCAAATATTTCAGATGATTCCTTGCATATAAATGTCTGTAACTGGTTAAAATATGTCTATTTCCAACTTCTGTAGTTGAGTTTAATTTCTTCTAACCTCAAGAAATAGCAGAAATGAAATATTTCTTTACCCTCAAGTTCAGGGTGTTTTTTTCCTAAGGTTTTGTTGCTCTTGGGAATGACTGCTATGATCTGTGAAATTTTTATCATTAGGATTTTAGAATTTATATTGATTTAGTATGTATATGTATGCATGCATGCACATGTGTGTGTGTGTGTGTGTCATGGTGCACATGTGGAGGTCAGAAGACAGCTTGTAGAAACTGGTTCCTACCACCTGCCTCTGCCTCCCAAGTGCTGGATTGAAGCCCAGTAAGATTCAAGTTTTCTTGAAAAAATATATTTAGTTCTTTTTTTTTTTTTTTTTTTTTTTGAGACAGGGTCTCATACTATATCCCAGGCTGGCCTCAAATTTGCTAGATAGCTAAGGATGGCATTGAATTTCTGGTCCTGTCTTGACTTCCCAAGTTCTGGGGTTCATAGAATGCGCTGCTGTGTGGCTGGTTGAGATTCAAGCTTCAACACTCCTTTTATTTGTTTTTTATATATACAAAACCCAAATGTATAATATTATTGTTAACATTATATAATACTATTAATATTTTATAATATTTTCAATAATTTAATGTATGGAACAAGATTTTATGATGTGGAATTTCCTACTGAGTGTCATGTCATGGCAACACTAAAATGTTTTAGTTTTTAGAATTGGTCTCCAGCACACTCCCATCCCCCCCACTCCCCCCACCATGTGTGTGTGCCCATGCCAGCGGCCAATGTTGGGTGTCTTCTTCAGTTGTTCTCCACCTTATGTTTTGGAATGAGGTCTCTCAGTAAATCTGGGGCTCACAGGTTATCTAGGCCAGTTTGCTAGTGAGCATCAAAGAATCCCCCTATCTCTACCTCCCCAGTACTGGGATTACAATAGAGCACCCCCACACCCAGCCTTTATGTGGTGCTGGAAGTTCAAACCCATGTCCTCATACTTGCACAGCAAGCACTTTACTCACTGAGCCATCTCTCCAGTCCATTTTGGGGTTTTGAATTGGGGTGTTCAGCGTATTTTGAAAGACTCGACAGTGCATTGGGAAGTCTTTTCATTTCCTGTTTCTTCTGTTTCCATCTCCTGAGTCTTCTTAGTTAACCTCACTCATTTTATTTACTTTTACATTTCTGTAACTGGTTTCTCTCAGTTATCTGTCTAAAAAGTAATTGCCAAATAAAAGTGATATTCTAAAGTTTTATTTTTTGTAAAATTGTAAGTAGCCATGAAATTTTCATCCCCCATCCTCAATCCTTCCCTGAAGGGCAGAGTGTGGAAGCTTGTAGACGTGAAGACGACCTTGAATGCTATGTTTTCTGTCATTTAAGATTAATTTATGTTTGAGAATTTCATCCATTGAGTACTGTATTCACATCATTTCATCCCTCCCTCTCTCTACTGCAGTTTTCCTGTCCCGCTCAACTCCCTTTCATGTTCCTGACTCTTCTTGTTTAGCTACGATTACTACCATTGCTGCATGTGCTTCCTTATAGGTGTGAGAGCTGTGTGGACTTACTGTTCGTGAGAGGAGCTGGGAACTGTCCTGAGTGTGGTACTCCACTGAGAAAGAGCAACTTCAGGGTACAGCTCTTTGAAGATCCCACCGTTGACAAGGAGGTTGAGATTCGGAAAAAAGTGCTAAAGATGTAAGTGTTGTTGTCAAGGGATTGGCCAGCAAAGAAAGTTTCAATAGTTTTGTCAGTCGTCATCAATATTTGCTCATGTAATTTTGAACAGATTGGCAAGTAAGCAAGTAGTTATAAAATCATCTATATACTCATTTTACAAAATTTATTAAGTTTATAGTAACTGTAATATCTAACCTTTGTTACAAAAAAGCTTTCTTCCTGAATTTGTGTGTCATCCGTGCTTAGGGGCCATGCCAATCTTCTCTGTATCATTCCAGTGCTAGTGCACATGCTGCTGAGCAGACACAAGAACTTTCTTGGTGTTTTTACAGTTTATCCATTTGCTATTAATTATTTAATTAACAACTGTGTTATATGTATTAGCAGTAATTAAGTGATGTGTAAAATAGCTGTAAATCTTGTTCTCATGAGACTCACTAGTAAAGTAGTGTAGGATATTAAGGAGATAGAAAATACAGTAGCAAACAAAACAAATGTACTATAAGGACGGAAGAGGTAACATTCAAGTTTTACTTGGAAGCTTATTTAGAGACACTGAAGTATTAGCTATACTTTATTTTGGCATGCATGTGGGTACATTATTATGATTTGTTAGTTTTGAGTTTCATTTTATTTGCCCTTTTGTTATAGGGTACTTTATTGTTTTTAAATTAATACATTAAAGTTGTTTTTTTTTTTTTTATGTTGGGGATTGAACCCAATGCATTGGGTACTCTAAGCATATGCTCTGCCTCTGAGCCACACAGCTAACTCATAATTTACTCTTTTTTTTTTTTTTTTAAACCCCAAAGATAGGGTTTCTCTGTGTAGCCCTGGCTGTCCTGGCACACGCTCTGTATACCAGGCCGGCCTCAAACTCACAGAGATATACCCACCTCTGCTTCCCAAGTGCTGGCATTACAGGCATGCAGCACCACTGCCTGGCAAAAATGATTGTTTTACTTGGATATTGTCTGCCTTGTGAGTGTGTGTGTGGGTGTTGTACGTACATCTGAGTGCTGGTGCTCTGGAAGTTTGGATGTTGCATTGGATCCACTCAGCTGAGTTATAGTTGTGAACTACCAGATGTGGGTGCTGGGAGCTGAACTCAGGCCCCCCCAAGGAGTAGTACAAATTCATTTTTCTTTCTTTTTTCATGTTATTTGTTTATTTATAAACTTATCTAGTGTAAGAATTCAAGAGTTTGCTTCAGTTTTTAGAGATGACACCACTTGAACATTTTTTATAACTGTTAAAAGAGTGAATTAAACAACCTTGTTTCATAAGTAGTTGGTGTCTTACTATAAAGAAAGGTGCAGCTGGGCAGTGGCAATACATGCCTTTAATCCTAGCACTCAGATCTCTTTGAGTGTGAGGCCAGCCAGGTCTACTAATTGAGTTCCAGGACAGCCTCCAAAGACACAGAGAAACCCTGTCTCGAAAAAACCAAAAAAAAAAAAAAAAACCCCCCCCAAAACCCCCCCCCCCAAAAAAAGAAACAATACAAAACAAAACAACAAACAAACAAAAACAAAAAAAAAGAAAGGAAGGAAGGAAGAAGAAAGAAAGAAAGAAAGAAAGGAAGGAAGAAAGAAAGAAAGAAACCAGATCTGAAGGAGGGGGTCCTCACAGCCAGTAGCCACCACATCTTTTCCACTGAAAGTGGGAACTTCTTCCCCAGACCTTCCTCAGTGCCTGCAACACACCATGGAGATGGTGGACCCCAGATGCTCTGGTCAGCATTTTGCTGCTGGAAGTTCTACAAGGGGCACAGAGAAGGAAGGCGGAAGAAAAAGCTATGATACTCCTGTTTCCTTTCCTCATGATTTTGCTTTCCTGAGTGTGATACAGGCTCGTAACCATTGAGCCACCTCTCCAGCCCCTTTCAGTTATTCTTTTGGGGAGGGGCATACATTTTACTAATGGCTGAGTGACATCTTCCTAGATGCTGCATCGATAATACTTTATCAGTTGTCAGCTGATCCTTACTTCAAGGACTCATCTTTTCATTCTGATCTCTTACTTTTAACCTTTTCAGGTTTGTTATTATTCACAGATACAGTCCAGTATTTATATATTTTGTGACATGTGTCTTATTTCATTTGAGCTCCAGTTTTCTGAAATTAATGACTATAATAAATAATAGTTTGTAATGCTCTGTCTTAAGTTCATTTCACATCCCTGAAGCACCTCATTAAACCTCTTTTTTCCTTAACTCCTTTAGGAATTGTCATGTCATTCTCTCCTGATTCTACGTCTTCTCTGTAATCATAAGAATTTTCAGAACAGTGTTTTAGGGTTGCAGGCATAGCTCTGTGGCAGAACACATGCTTATTATGAACAAAAGTCAACCGTCCACACCCCACAAGAAACCCCCGAAAACCAAAACAAACCAAACCAAAAATCAACCCAACAAAAACCTTCCTCAAACCCAGCTTATATTCTTGGTCTAGTTATAAGCCTAGTGTCAAGAAAACAATGTTTTACACAGTAAACAATCTCTTCTGTATATCATTCATGAATTAAGTAGGGATGAGCAAGCTGGTTATGTAAAATGGTCTACAATGATATGTAATACTTTGATTTTTTTTCCTCTGTAGATACAATAAAAGAGAAGAAGATTTTCCTAGTCTAAGAGAGTATAATGATTTCCTGGAAGAAGTGGAGGAAATTGGTAGGTTTAAATTTGATGTGTTAGCCTTGAGATCTTGTGCTGTTTGTTATCTTTTAGATGCCTAGACAGTGTCTCACACAAAAGGCTCCTGATGGCTGTTGTGGTAGCTGATTTTTATAGGTTACTTTCTTTTGCAATGGAATTACATTTGTCAAATTTAAATCATACAAAATAAAGGGGATTCTTAAGTAATTTTTGTCTTAGAAAAATTATTATATTGGGGATATGTTTTAGCTGGGAAGAAGGGTGTGTCTGCATATACCAACCCTACCAAGCAGTCTAAGCAAAAGGAAATAGTTTGACTGACTTCTCTGTTAATGTTGTCTGTGATAACAAAAGATAAAATGTTTATTACTGTTTATGCTTCTGTGGAACAGTAGGTTGGGAATACTTTGAAGCAGGTGACTGTGGAGTAGCATTTTACTGTCAGTGTTTTCGAGGCAGACCTAATGATCTCAGTGCTTCTCTTCAATGTGATTAGTCATAAGGTGTTCTCCCCACAAGTGTGTTGTCTCTGCTTGCTTCCCCCACTTTCAGTGCTGGCTTGTTTCTGTTTTGCTAAAGAGAATTTCAGAACTGTTAAAAGATATATGGAAGTTGTGCTGTATTGATTAAAAAATTATGCTTTTTGAAGTTGTGATAATTGGAGCTGTTGAGGTGGCTCAGCTTACCAGTACACCTGAAGAATTGAGTTCCATTCTGGGAGCCACAAAGTGGAAGGAGAGCACCAACCCCCAAGTTTCTTTCTCTGTGTATATGTGCATGCTGGTATATATACCCATGCATCTGCATATTAAGGACAGAGGTCAATGCTGGGTGTCATTTTCTGTCATTCTCCACTTTCTTTTTTGAGACAGGGTCTCTTTCTGAATGTGAAGCTCACTTATTGGCTATATTGGCTAGTGAGCAAGCCCCTGGGATTTTCCTGTATCTGAATGCTGGGGTTAGAGGTATATTTTGCTTGGCTTGGTTTTTATGTGGGTGCTGTGGATCCACACTCAGGTTCTTGTGCTTGTATAGCAAGCACTTTACCCAGCAAGGCACCATCTTACCCTGCAATACTTCACTAGATATGAACCTATAGACCAGTGCATTTGATTTGAAAATGACAATGCTGTTGTATCATTTCATGAAAGTGTATCTGTAAAGAGTATAGAAACTCTGAACCAATGTCTATCTAGTTAGTTGTCTAATTGGAGCAACTGATATTTCGCTGTCCTTCCATAGACTGTGCTGACTCATGCCAAAGCATAATGATGCATAGTAAATGCTTTCCATTAAAAGCTGTCCTCAAGTACATCTCTTCTCTGTTCTCCAGTTGTTATACACCATGAATTATTTGTATCAGTGATCAAGCTTTCTTAGGTCAATTTTGCTTATTATTTTATGCAATTTAGTCCAATAGAAGAGCTGGGAAAATTATATAACTCTGCTTTTGCTTCCCTTAAAAAAGTGGAACAGCACTGTAGATGATATTTATAATTTATATAAGAAAGATGCTGAGCTCCTGTTAAAGCTAGACATTGGCCGTATAATGTTGTCAGAGATTGACTGCTTGTGTTAGTTTCTTTTCTATTGCTGAGAAGACATCCCATGACCAAGGTAACTAATGAAAGATAAGAGTTTAATGGGGCTTACAGTTCCAGTGGGTCAGAGTCAGAATGGTGGAGTAAAGGCATGGAGGGAGGGGCTACAGCTGAAACTTAGATCTTGATCTACAAACAGGAGACAGAGAATACCCTGGAAATGTTTTTAGTCTTTGAAACCTCAAAGCCTACCTCCAGTGGACACCTCCTCCAACAAGATCATGCTTCCTTATCCTTTCCAAACAGTTCCACCAACTGGGGACCAAGTATTCAAACATATGAGCCTGTGAGGGCCATTCTTACTCAAGCTACCACATTGTTGAATTAGTCAGGGTTCTCTAGAAGAACAGAATCAATAGAATGAAATTGTATTAATTCATTGTATGTGATATCATTAAATTAGCTTTCATTGAAGTAGTAACAATAGCTGTCTCACATCTGAGAGGTTGCAAAACCTGTAGTTGCTAGGTCCTCCAGACTGGACAGTTTTCCACAGTCAGAGTAGTCTCACAATGGCCGTCTCATACTGGAGACGCTGACAACTAAGTAGTTGCTCAGTCCATGAGGCCTCAGAAGTCTCAGGCTGGTGCTGAAGACCTAGAGTGTTGTTGGAGAGCTGCTGTTCCTCAGTCAGTGATAGAAGCCTGGAAATACTGATTCTGATATGGACAAAGGAATTGCCAGGGGCAGCAACAACAGGGTAATTCATTTGGTAGCAAGAAGAAGGGCAAGCAAGCAAAAAGTGAGTAATCTTCCTCTGCTATGTCCTTTTTAAACTCTGGACTGCCACCAGAAGATACCACCCATATTTTTAAGATGATCAGTGTGACTCTGCAGGTGAGGCCCCTTGCTCAGATGTTTCTAATTTGTGGCAAGCTGACATTAAGACCAACTGTCACAATTGCATAGTTATGGTGTGTGTTTTAAGTTAAAATAGTCTAGAGGGAGGAAAGCAGAGGGGCAGAGAAGGATGAGGAGAGGAGAAGATTTATCAAACTAAAAAGCTTCACTGAGCACAGGAGACAACAGAATAAAGAAAACAGTCCACAGGAGAGGAGAAACATTTGCCAACCATACAGCTACTATTAACTCCTGTTTTAGTTCCTTTTCTGTTGCTGTGATAAAAGCACCACCATATAGGCAATGCTTAGAAGAAAGAGTTTATTTTGCTTACTCTCTCAGAAAGAGAAAGGTCATCCACCATCCTGGGAAGCGTGACAGCAAGCAGCAGACACGGTAGCCCGAGCAGAAACTGAGGCCTCACATCTTGAACCTCACATCTGGAGCAGAGAGCACACATTGGGAATGGCAAGAGTCTTTAAACTCTCAAAGCCCACCTGCAGTGATGCACTTCCTCCATTAAGGCTCTACATTCTAAAGCCTTCCTAAATAGCACCAGCAACTGGGGCCAAGCATTCAAATGTCTGAGTCTATGGGGACATCTCATTGGCATCACCACATCTCTGAAATAAATGTACAAGAACCTTTGACAACTCAATGGCAAGAATACAAATAACCTTATTAACATGTTGACATTTCTCAAAAGGAAGCAAAACAACTAGCTAACAGGTATATGCAGCACTGCTCAACAACAGTAATTATCTGGGTAATGCAAATTAAAATCACAATTACATACCACCTATTAAATGGTCACACTATAAAAAAAAGAGCATATGATAGGTTTGTTAATTAGCTTACTTTAATAATTCTGCGTTTGTATATAATTATAGAAAATTTCACTGTGG